TAGTATGCGCATCGCGGGGTCCCCTAGGTCTTGAATCCCCTACGGTTCGTGCTAGTTTTAATAGGCCGTGATAATGCCGTGACTTTGAGGGGTTTTTGTGGTCATGGCAGCGGAGGAATAGGGGATTCAATGTCTTAGCCGAAGTTAATTTGTCACGGACCACTCACACGGAAAACCTGCTCCAGAACCGCTCGCGGATTTAAGTGGTCATGGGCTATCTAGAGCAGAGGCATACGTTACTCATACGTAAGGTCTAGGACGAGGTTATCTACAGCACTGGCACAATAATAAGTGACCGTTCTTATCATAGCCATCCACCCTTCGCTTCCCATGGCATCACCGTTGGCACATACAGCAATGCAGTCACCATGATCGTCGAATCAACTGTTGCCATAACTGCTGGACCGACTAGCTCGATGACAGTGCCTGCTACCCAAGGTTTGGGGGTGTAGGGTTTCCGAGCTTAGGGGTACGTTGTCTAGAGTCTAGCTTCGCCTTAGGCATTTCGGCTGCCAAGGACCGTGCAGTCCGAACTATCCTACATATTTGTCAAAGCCTCACATTGGAAGAACACAAACTTATCACACATCACATGGATCACAAATGACATGAATTGTGCCACATGACATTCAATCTTTCTACATAGAGATTGTTTCGTTATTGTTCGTCGGAACTTAGTTAGATTTGTCGTCCCCTGCGAAGTTCCGTCATTTCTTTGATGCCGGACGCATTGCTCGGTGACTCTGCGCTCTGCCCGGACGACCGCCTGTGCGGATTGAGGCGAATTGCGTCAACTAGGTCTAAAATGGCTATAAATCTGTAGTCTCTATTGCAGTACTGTTTTTTTGGTTTAGCCCAATTTATATTAAACGACCCTAAGCGATTTAATCATAGAATTGCTTAACCACAAACAGGAACTGCAATGGAGACTACAGGTGAGGCTTCGGGCGGAGCACTTGATAATTGGAAATCTTGCAGCAGAGACAGGAGTAACTCAGTAGTAATACTGTTACTTATTGTTGTTTAGACATTAATTACCAATGGTTCAGGGGCCCTGGCATCCCTGAAATTGAGCCCAAACCCGAGACTCTGCAGCAGGGCACGAGTGAGTATGAGCATCAACACAACCCCGAAAATTATTGATGATAAAGATGATGATGATGATGATGATGACGGTCATGTATGCGGTGATTGATGGTCTCAAAGCAGGAAGGTGTCAGTCTAAGCGAAGCAACCTTAGTAGAACGAGATGGCCCGGACCCGACGTGTGTAATTCTTCAGAATTACTAATTACGACCACATCTTGGAACTCCGGCCTCGTGATCACCTCTTCGATTTGGCTTTCGCTCTCGCGCTGTCCTTCGGTCTCGGAGATTCACCGCTAGCTCTCTTGGTGCCTCTGCCTCTGCCACGTCCGCGTGTCGGGCCTTCTTCGGCTGCAGGCCGTGCAGCTGATGACGGCTCGCGAGATGCAGATACTTCGGGCGCCACTGAGACTGACCCAGGCCGTGCAGCTGATGAGGGCTCGGACTTCTTTCCGACGCCGTCTGCCTCCGTCGCCGCTGCACGTGCTTCGCGCTCAGCCTTCAACTCAAGGCAAGCTTCGGCAGCTCCACGGATCATCATGGAATCCGGCTTGGCTTGAACCTTTGCCCGCAAGTGTTTGGACTATAACGACAGCGGCAGCAGCAACCGATACAATCACAGCAACAACTCCAGCCACATGCACAGGCGTGCCAAGCGATATATAACCATGTAAAGCAAACTTTGTTACAACGATCGGGGCATGGACTCTAGACTAAGAACATATCCATCAGCCGCACCACCAATGCCACGATCACCACCTTTACCATCACTTTGATCACCAGCTTGACCACCACCTTGACGACGACCACCACCAACAACAACCGCAGGGCCGCAGTCCGAACGACATTCCGGGAAGGGTTTAGGATTTAGGGCTTTAGGGCCTAGGGTTTAAGTCTAAGTCTAGACAGAACAGTGCTTTTGCTCAGTTTGCAAATGCCAAGGAGCACCTCCATTCTTGTGGTAGTGGTTGTAGAACCAATTTACACAGTGTTGCAGAGCTTGAGTTGCCGTTGTCCTGGGGCCGTACATCTTTGACGTGTTGTATGGCTTCTTACCATCGCTCGGCCAGTAAGCAGCAAAGGAGCTTGTAAGGGCCTGGTGGACCAAGTACGCATACTGCGGGATGTCGTCCGGACGGAGGTTCTTAACGACATCGGGCGTGGCATCCTCCATGTCCTTGCGGCTGTCCGCCTTCAGTCGAGTCATGATCAGGTCAGATCGATGGCGTTCCTCCATCTGTTCTGACAAATCTTCGAACGGTCGCCTCTCGGCTGGGTCCAGTAGCTTCAAAGCATCCCTCACAACTTCCTCACATGGAATCTGCTCGTCTGCCTTGCCCATGAGGGACGAGAGCCTTTCCCGTAGCTGAGTCTCCGAGTACTCCGGGCAGAACTTGCTCAGCAGGCTCATGAGCCTACTCTTGTGGCCGACGCTGGACTCGCCGTAGCGGGTCACTGTGGTTTTCGTAGCAATGCCTGGGCATCAGTCAGCTAAGCAGCATTATCCGGCTTCAAGTTCCGGTTACGTTTTTCAAATTGTCTGTTTGGGACCCGAAGTTATTAGCCTTCGGTTAATCTTCTTCAGCTTCAGTCACTTACAATGTTACACGGCTGAGGCTTACACGACACACGAGTCACGATTTCTGCCAACACAAGACTGGGAAGAATTGTGCTGCGATTGAACGACGATAGGATGCCCCAAACAGTCGGGTTGCATATCATACGCAGTCGACTCTTGATCTCGTTGTCAAGAGTGCCCGCACACAAGAAGCCTTTCACCAGAGACATAGGCGGCCGTGTTTGCTTGAGAGCGATGGCAAGGACGCCAGCGCCCGCAGAGGCCGAGTCCACATGTGGAACTCAGCTGCCACGAAGTGCGACGTCTGAAGTGTGTGTATGTACTGTGACTCAGTGATCTTTACAGACGGGGTCCTAAAGTTGCGGTTTTGTTCTCGCGGCTTGACAATGGATCTGACTACTTAATTAATTAATGGGCTCATACATTTACATACACTACGGTACCCTACAAACCTCTATCCTATATTATATGTTGTAATGCCACACTAAAAAATCCTACACTGAGCCCCAGGCAGCGAAACTCTACAAACTCCTTCCCAGGGGGACAAGTATGTGTGACTTTGCAGTGTCAAGACTCCAACACCCCCCCTAAGCCATAGCCGTTGCACCACCTTTGTTTAGCAATGACGAATCAGAGGGGCTTGACATTGAGGGGTTAAGAAGGTTCGGGGTGTGTGATAGGCAATTCAACGCTTGGAGGGGCCGCCCCTGAACCTTGGCCGTACAGTACAGTACAGTACACCTTTTCAACCGTCTTTAAACAAAACCCAAATCCTTAAAACAAAAACGCCCTAAATAAATCGGGTTACAGGCAGGGTTTAGGGTTTACGGTTCGGGTTTAGGGTTACAGGCAGGGTTTAGGGTTTACGGGAAGGTTTTGTTTATTCTGGGTTGTTTTACACTGAGGACATTGGCGGCAGTAGCACATCTCAGGGTCGAGGCACGAGGTGTAGGAACTAACTAACAACTAGGCCCTTCGATATTTTGAGATGACATGGTTTCAAGAAAAAGAAACTCCTACCACGTCTCCCCGTGCAAGCCGGCGTCTGATCGAAGTGGGGACGAAGAGGAACTCTTCGTAGTCAGCCTCCGGTGTCCCCGGCTCCTCAAGTCTCGTTTGCACCAACAACTCCAAGCTGGATCGGCAAACCAATGTAGTGGGCTCGCTTGCTTCGACGATGTGCATTACATCATCATCCTTCGTTTCGATTTGCCAGCCAAACGTAGCGTGGCCCCGGAAACCCAGGGACAGAAACAACTGTCGATCTCTTCGACGAAGATACACTTGTCCCTGAGTCATCAGACAGGAAACCCACGCCCCGGAGATGCCAAGGAAGTCACACCTGGAGAAGTGGTGGAGCAAAGCGTGGCTGGACGCAGCTCGAAAATCCGATTCGACGCCACCCGGCTTCCAAAGAGGCGGGCCTGAGAATAGGGCGCTTCTCAGAGTCAGGCACACATGTCTCCCGGCTTACCGTCTAGACACTAGGTGCTGCATCATCACTAATCATTAATAACTAGGAAGCACCCCTAAAATCATCATCCCTAGGAAGCACTCTTAGAAATAGTTGTTTCATCATCACTAGGAGGCACCCGTCCTCAATCCTCATCAGTGTCATTAATTACGGGGAAGAGAGAGAGAAAGAGAGAGAGAGAGAGAGAGAGAGAGAGAGGGAGAGGGAGAGAGAGAGAGAGAGGAGGGAGAGAGAGGGACTTATGTTTGCGGATACAATCCTCACTTTGTTCTACTTTGGTCGAGAAAGCTCCTGCCTTTGTTCTGCTGGTACTCCTTCAACTTTGTGTGCGCTGCCTTCAGTGCTGCACCGGAAGCGCCCGTCATCTCGGACCCAAAGTATCGGGCCTTGCAGGTGCCAGTGTCACACACACGAGAGTCTCCTGGCTGAAGACGAAGGAAGCCACTCCCGAACCTGGACTGCAGAAGCCTGGGGGAATATGCATGGCTGCTGAATATTCGAAAGTTGCTCCAGGAATTGTGCTTCGCTAGCCTGTTCCTGTCTTCAAGGGACGCCAACACTTCCTCGAGACTGAATTTCGTGGTTGACAGGCCAGAGGATAGAAAGTAAACGTGCGAATAAATGGAATCCATCGACCACTGGAACGCTGCTGCGTGCTCCCACAGCTCACCAACCAGCGTGAGGCGGTCGTACCACAAGTCTCCCAGCAGCGCGGTGAGAGCCTGTACAACCATGTTCTGTTTTGGGCATTGATGGAGTCAAGCGAGAACTAGGGCAGGGGTTAACTTAAACCTGAACCTTCTTAGATTCTTATAATACCAGCCTATAGATTGGCCACTCGGGCAGCGATCTTGAATTGAAGCCCTCACTCATACCGGACGGAAACCAAAACATTCCCAGGGCCCTATTATAACAAACAACCCCAGTTCTACGCAGACAATAACCGTCAATAAGCCGAAGTTAAACCTGAACCTTCGTCTTGACGCTATTACTTTCCAACCTGTAGATTTGGCCAATCCTGGCCATTCTGGCTGAGATCTCTCTGAAACCCTAATTTTTCTAAGCCCCCAGAAGCCAAGCAAAATGCTTTACATGCAACACTGACACACACAATAAACTTTAAGCCGAAACCCGGCAATGAAACGTTTAGTCGAAACGTTAAAGAGCTAGGCCTCCCTTTCCGGGTGTCCACTGTCGGCAGCTGCAGCTCTCGCGGAACGGATCACGCCAGCAGTGCGCTTGGCACTGGCCAAGGCATCAAAAGCTTCCTCTGCGTTGTTGCTGAGGATGCCTGCAAGCTGCTCGGGTGGCAAGTCGTACAGCAGCGAGCACCAAGTTCGGACTGCCGCCAAGGAAACCACAAGCCGAAAGAAAACATCTGCTCGGGCAACATCTTGAGGGCTCCGGATCTTGATGTTTCGCAGGACATCTATCCTGTTGAGCATCTGTAGAAGCTCACGCACGTCTCGAATCCAGCAGCGGTTCGCCCGGTCGGCTTGCCACTGAACTGCTGTCTCCACTTGCTCGAGCGCTTCCAGCGTTTCCAGGTGCGCCCTGAACAACGGCCTCTTGGCCCAAAAAATCCTTGGGCCAAGGAACTCTTGAAATCCCGGAAATTGATATGTCAAGTCGAAGGATAAAACGGCAGCGCCCTAACCGCCCTAACCTTCCAAATCCCTGAAATAAGGATTCTGCCTTAGACTAAATCACATTAGGGATCCTGTTACAACTTAAATTATGGTATATTCTATTCCTTACGTAAGGATTTAAGGGCTGAAAAGGGATTTCGGTACCGCCGGTCTGAGCAGATGCTGGCAGGGAGCATCTCGGCCAGTGTGTGTATGTCGCTGTTGTTGAGGACCGCGCACATGACTTGCATGTCCCCTTTTGTTTGCTCACGCAGATCGGACAGAATCCAATCTTTCGTTTTGCGCTCACGGGGCACGACTGCAGAAGCCTCACCTGGCGCGCCTGTGTGAGCCGGGTCCTCCTGATCCGGGTTTAGCGATAGTGACGACTTGGCTGCACTCGCCTTTGTCTCGGCACCACCCAGAGCACGCTGCCTGAACTTGAAGATTATTGCCAGGGCCGTCCAATGTCCTCGGAAGCTTTTCCAATTCTGGTCCCAGTTGAACCATCTTCTCAATGTCACCTGCACGACTTGCCTAAATGGCGAAATCGAAGGAAGCTGAGGTACGCTGTCGTCGTAACTCACGTGTGCATGTCGCTATGAGGAGGAAGGGATTAGGCGATGGTCTCTCGCAAGTTATGGTGTCAAGCAAGTTATGGTGTCAAGCCAGAATTAAGGATATCACAAGACAGCATTCTTTGCCCCCAAAGACAGCCTTGCCGTCCAGCCCGCTCAAGTGACGACACTCCCGGAAAGCTTTCCACACATGCTCAGGCGCCGATGACTCTGGCAGATTCAGTTCGTGGCAGAGCTTGTCGATGTTGCGCTGGAAACTTGGCTGACAAATCTCATGCCGTGAGAAGGACCGTTTTCACCGAACTGAATCTGCATTACCTCCATGATATTATATAATAATAGAAACTTAGGTGTTTGATAAGAAGCCGGGCTGTGCAGTTACATATCTTGCCCAAGCAGATCATGATGGGTCTGCAATGAAGACGAGCCACTCGTCAGATGATGCCGAGTGGATGCGACAGTACGACTCGTAGGCCGACGCAACTTCTTGAGCAAATTGTGTTGTCCCAAAGGGCTTGCGCTTGAACGACATAGTGAACGCGGTTGCGCCCACAATTCCTGAATCGAAGTAGTAACTTAGTAGGAGGGTTTTTAGACTCAGCATCTCTCTGCTCTCTCCGTCTTTAATGTCATTAACGGAGGCTGCGCAATCGTAGGCAGAGGCGTTCGTGCTAGAGGAGGTGGCTATGCTAAAAGCCCACTAGGCGTCACCCCTTGTGGAATAAGGTAGCTGCAGCGCACTACATTTCTGACTCTCTGACGTTGTGAGAGATGACTGCAAGATTTACGGTGTTATCCCTGCAGGTGGGCCACCCCAGAGCCCGGCCCGTTTGACCGCCATCTCGGCTTGATTGGCATCCATATGTGGCGGCTCACGGCGACGACAGCCACGAAGGCCAAGACCGTAGTAGAGAAGGTTGAACGCAAGCGTCCTGGGCGAAGCCACGTGGATGGGCAGGACTGGGGTGTAATGAAATGACTCCATTGAAAAAAAAACCGATGCTAATGTTGCCAATGAAGGGCTGCTGGCCCTCGTTGTCGGCAAGTATCGTGAGTACGGGTCTGCTGAGGAGGTCATTCTGGTCTCTCGGGTGAGTGTCAGGTTCGGAGTTTGGTAAGAAAGAGTCCAAAGTCTTCTGCACTGCATTGAGGGAGAGCTCCAGCTCTTTCAAGTGCGAGAGTCGCTTCATCGTGTCCAGGTTCAGCGCTGCCCGCTGTCTCTTCAACGCCGACTGCGCTAGCTCCAGCTTCTCATCGTCGGGCTCGTCTAGGCCCTGAAGCGACTCGACCTGAAGCTTTGCAGAAGAATCCTGCTTTACATGTCCTGAAGTGTCTACTTAACTTTACACTCTGCGTAGTTTCTATTGATCCAATCTAATCATCGTTGATGTGATGGACACGCGAGTTCGCATGATGATTAAGCTGGTAGCTATCTATTGCATGCCGTGGCACGACTGCCGCGACACTCTCGAAGTCTTTGCAGGCCTGCACCGCTTGCTGCTTGTCGAGCTCAGACAAACCGCCAGTCAGGACAGGGAAAGCATCTGGCACCTGCAATGCTGCAAGGAGGTTTAGCGTGCCGTGACGGGATTGATATTCTATTCCACCTTCAGAGCGGCCTTCCTACTTATGCGTAACAGCATGTCACATCGAATCAACTCAACGTCAGTTGCAAACGCATGCCCCATCTACAAAGAGCAAGTGCTGAACTTTCTGCGTGCGCAGGAACGACCAGCATGTCGCTGTGGTCGCCGTCCGCTGGGACACGTGTGCTGTGCTCCGCTACGCAGTCAGTAGCGGCCCGGTGTCACTTTAATGAGTAAGTTCCTTGTCAGTCTATAACTGTTAATAGTATCACCCAGAAGCCCCTGTGTATGAGTAGTCCTAAGCAATGTCGTGTAATCGAATTCCAAGCCCGCCTAGTTGCACAATTAAGTCTGATTCCCAGCGCTTCTCATACATGTTACACTAGACACCGGCCACCAATGACTAACTCACGGCGGTCCCAACTGTTCCAGACGAGGAAGCCAGAGCAAAAACTAGGGCAATCGGAGAGTCTTAGTCTTGGTCCGATCTGAAATTCCGAAACGACTATTTGCATATAACTGCCGAACTAAACATAGCACTATAGTCTACTTGTCAAAGGACCGACTCGCATCCCCGGGCAGGCTCCGGCAGACGATGGAGATCCTTATTATAATCTCCCAAATTCCCGGTCTCAGTCATCAGCAAAACGACAGAACACCGCATCCATACTGCCAAACAGACGCCGCTCAAACCCCATCCATTCCCCCAGAACATCCATGTCCCGACCAAAATAACGTTCCCTCACAAACTCTATCCATTCCCACAGAGCATCCATGCCCGGACCATGATAACGTTCCCACAAACTAACTATATCCATTCCAACAGAGCATCCATGTCCCAACCATGGTAATAACATTCCCACGAACTCTATCC